TGGGGGGGGGGGGGGCCGTTTAGACAAAAAAAAAAAAAGATAGTTTACCTCGCTCTCCAAGCGGAACCTCAAATAATCCCTGACCCTTGCAAGTAAGACCCGATACGCATGGACATTCCCAGTTCATGTCTGCTGCCGTGGTCACACTTACTAGGCAGGCTGGAGATTTGTGTTAATGATCACGAATTAGTGGGATGTTTATTATTATTATTTTTTTAATAATTGAAACGCATACCTGGCACACAAAAGTTTAGCCTATCTGGCACAAAACGTTATCCTACCTGACTCAAAAAAGTATAGCCTACCTGACAAAGAAAGGTGTAGCCTTCCTGTCACAAAACGTATAGCCTACCTAGTACAAAAAGTATTTAATCAATCTAACAACCAGATTAGTACTATATGTTTTTTTTTACTTCTTAAAGAGAAGGGGAAAAATACGATTAGCTAATGCACGTCACAAATGAAAACGTCTCAGTCTAAGAGCAAGCGGTCGTTTTTTTTTTTAAATTCTGTTCACATGGATTCTTAAGTACGAAAGATCTTTCACTTAATTTTGTTAAGTTTAGATGGCCTACGCCAAATTTTCAGTTCGGGGTTTCAGTCATTTCTTCTCAGTGTTTCAGTTATCATCCTCAATGGAAAAAAAGATGCTTTACCGTTGGGAGCTTCGAACACTTACAATCACCGGTTTCCCCAAGTTTCTGACACGCTCCTCTGCCAATGGCGAGTCTCTTCTTCCTTCCGATGGGCTGAATTGCGCTGACGCAACACTCGTCTGCTGAGCAGTCTTTTCCAGAGGAGCACGAGCCGCTGACATCTTTCTTGATATAATGCGGATTGTTCCACTCCTTTAGAAGTTCCAAGACATCACGGCACGTCCCTGGATATATATATATATATATATATATATAACATCAATAATGCCGTATTAAAATGAACTGGGAGAAGATCTTTTAAATGCTTTTGAAAGTAATTTTACATATTGAATGTGCATACTAAACGGATTATTTGTTTTTGGGGGTGGGACAAAGGGGAGGATTGGCTTTGGAGCACGCACACGATACATTTATTTCTGCTAAACATTTTGCATAAGGTCATGGTCGTCTTACCAGCACTTCCGGCAAGTAGCCGAACACGTGCATCTTAGCTGAAATCGTTCCTGTTACTTAAGTATGCGTTAATTGCAAGTGTAGTAGTTTTACGTTATATTTGATATTAATAAGTGGTTAAACATTTGCTTACAAAAAAAACAAAAAAACAAAAACAAGATTGTTATATACCACCGTATGTATTAAAATTACAATGCCAATTACGGGAGTATTATTATTAAGTTGTTGTTTTTTTTTTACAGAGATTATATATTACGCCTGAATTCTTCGATTGGCATGTAAAATATTTAAAGGGATCGAAAAATCAATTGCGTTTAAAAATAATTTGTTCGAAAACAATTATTTCTTTCGCTAGCTTTCCTGGTGTTCATTGAGAAGTATTCGAACTATAATACCAAACATATCAAAAACAATGATTCTCACGATATGCATGCTTGGCTACAACGTTGGTTATATTGGACACGCGAAATAAAATTTCACAGAAGTTAGAACCCATTGGGATTCTTATAAAGTACGCTTCTTGATTGCGTGCAGGGGTGGACTGGGGAGTTCAAGCGGCCCGGGAAAAAATCAAAGCGGCCCAGGAAAAAAACAAAAAAGCGGCCCTATCTTCATGACTTTTATTTATATTATATCACCGGTCCTAGCGGCCCATCGGGAATCATCCCGATGTCCCGGCGGCTCAGTCTACCCCTGATTGCATGTTTTGTCAAGTAACTTTTGTAGCTGGGAAGTTCACAGTCCACGCATTGTCGACGCCATTTTATTCTGTTTTATTTCTAGTACATAAATAAACTACAAGCCCACACTTGCCCGTTCGTCTTTACCTTCATCTATGTGTTCAAAAGTCAAGGGTTGAGTGAGCGTGCCGTCACATCTTAAGTTGAAGTCACATGGGCATGACTTGTTGAACACGGTGTGACCAAAAGACATCAGGTAACGGTCATTACTGACGTAACATTCTGTGGACGCAGGAGAAAAAAACCACATTGACCTACCTACCATGTAATTAAACTGACATGCAAGATGCGTGGAAGTAGTTCTTACGGATGTAACTCTTATGGAAGTAGTTCTTATGGAAGTAGTTCTTATGGAAGTAGTTCTTATGGAAGTAGTTCTTATGGAAGTAGTTCTTACGGATGTAGCTCTTATGGATGTAGTTCTTACGGATGTAACTCTTATGGAAATAGTTCTTATGGAAGTAACTCTTATGGATATAACTCTAATGGAAGTAGTTCTTATGGAAGTAGTTCTTATGGAAGTAGTTCTTATGGAAGTAGTTCTTATGGAAGTAGTTCTTACGGATGTAGCTCTTATGGATGTAGTTCTTACGGATGTAACTCTTATGGAAGTAGTTCTTACGGATTTAACTCTTATGGAAGTAGTTCTTATGGAAGTAACTCTTATGGATGTAGCTCTTATGGATGTAGTTCTTACGGATGTAACTCTTATGGAAGTAGTTTTTATGGAAGTAGCTCTTATGGATGTAACTCTTATGGAATTAGTTCTTATGGAAGTAACTCTTATGGATGTAACTCTTATGGAAGTAGTTCTTATGGAAGTAGCTCTTATGGATGTAACTCTTATAGAAGTAGCTCTTATGAAAGTAACTCTTATGGAAGTAGTTCTTACGGATGTAACTCTTATGGAAGTAGTTCTTATGGAAGTAGCTCTGATGGAAGTAGCTGTTTTGGATGTAGCTCTTGTGGAAGTAGCTCTTATGGAAGTAGCTCTTATGGAAGTAGTTCTTATGGAAGTAGTTCTTATGGAAGTAGTTCTTATGGAAGTAGTTCTTATGGAAGTGGTTCTTATGAAAGTAGTTCTTGTGTAAGATGGAAGTAGTTCTTAGGGAAGTAGTCCTTGTATTCCAATTGATAAATAGTGTACGTGTTTGGTTAAAAAATCGTACAAATTTAGTTGAAATAGAGAAGAAAATGTCTTTTTATTAATTCTTGTACAGTTATCTTGAACTATTTTAAAGGTTTTATATTTCCATTCCTCAAGTGAACTGGTTCTCAACCCATGGGTCGTAACTCCAAATAGTGTTGCGGGTGGTCTTCTGTGTGGTTGCTGACTCAAAAGGTAATCTAAAAATTTAATGACCTTAATTTGTGTCTTAATCTGCGTCTTAATAAAGGTTGGATAATTTCACAATACTTCGTCTATTTCCAGAGGGATTTTTTAATTACCACAATATTATTCATGTTTAAATAAATGGTGGAACAGGGTATGTCTAGGTTTGAAAGGAAATACAAGAGAATTAAGCGGACGTTTCAGGTAGACGCCTTCTTTGGCAGACAATAAAATACAATTAGACATCAGACAAATGTAAATTAAAAAATAAAACTTATGTGTTCCAAGGTCTGAGTAAAGTCAATGTGGCTCAATGTTCAGAACAGGAAGGGCTCTGTGATATTGTTATTGTTAGAAACGGAAGTTAAGTTGTTCTAAAAGAGAGACCGCGGGTCTCACACTGTTTTTGGGGTGCCTACCATTCCGCTCAATGAATTTAAGATTTATCCATAAACAATTTTAAAAATTAAACAGTAAATATTCAGAATATGAATCTGTGGGGACGTAAGGGATTATTCAATTGATTCTTTACGTAATATGGTGACGACAATCACGTTGCTATTTTAAAATGGGTCGGAGGGGGGACCCTTTCTGCTATAATGTGGCAGGGGCGTCATTAATGGGTTTTTTCGAACAAAAAAAAAAGGGGGGGGGGTGGTGATGCAAAGCAAAACTTGGTCTGCTTGTTAAGTTTTTTATTACTGGGGGCACTACAGTACATAACATAAAATGGGTCGGAGGGGGGACCCTTTCTGCTATAATGTGGCAGGGGCGTCATTAATGGGTTTTTTCGAACAAAAAAAAAGGGGGGGGGGTGGTGATGCAAAGCAAAACTTGGTCTGCTTGTTAAGTTGTTTATTACTGGAGGCACTACAGTACATAACAATTTACATAAAACCTGCAAATTCGGGGAGGGGGAGGGCAAATGCCCCACACTGCCCTGCTCAAATAACATGTCTGTAAAATGGGATCGGGCATCACTTTGTTTCAATTAAAATGAAGTCTCGACGAAAAGAAAAGATGAATTTCATTGCTACAACACAATACTATGAGGCCATGAAAATAGTCCTTTCTTTTAAATAAACTTTTTAACACCAATATAATTTTGTACTCTTTTGATAAAAAGACCCCCCTCCCCCGCCCCGCCCCCGAAAAAACACTATTCAAATTTTAAAAGAAGGGTTTAGGAGGAAAATTTTTAATTGTAAAAGAAATAGATAAATGAAAACGATTTCACCTTAAACATATTACAGATATCTCGTCATATCCTTCTATGGGTAACGTAGATTAAATATATCCCACCCTAGCCACGCCTTCGTAGCCCCACTTACTTTGATGTTCCTTTATCATCGGTGCGCAGAAAGAGCCCCCAGATTGGGGAGACTTCAGGCAACATCCGGTCACTCCGCAGTCAAAACTCGAGGTACATGGCTTCCCGACGCTTGACTCCTGGGCTTGTGACAGCGACACCTGGTGGTGGTGTTGTTAACCGGAAAATCGGATCACCCACAAATTAATGTCATTTTTTTGTGTGTGTGTGTTAAAGATGAAATGAAGAAATTTAAATTTTTAAGTTGAAACAAAAATCAGCTGATAGAATAATCAGTCACTAAGGCATATCGACACTCAAATGATAAATAAGACTTGGAAAATAAATATTATCTTCCAATTTAATGTAAAATATATTAATTTCTATCTTGTAAACAATACTCACCAATTGAACAGTAATCACAATTCCAATTACTGCAAACATTGTTTGTATGCGTCTTTTTATGAATTGTATTTCATTAGATAGACAAAGAAGTCTCCCCGTAAGTTTAAACGCAGTATTTATAGATCGGGTTATCTTTTTTTTAAAAAAAAGTTGTTCCAACATTAGCAAGGAATTTTTTTTTTTTTTTTTTTTTTTTTTTGGCTAGATTTTTTTTTTTTTTTTCAATCAAATTTGTCATGAGAAATGTTGGCTCAGCACGATGTTATCTTATTAGAAAATTATTCATAATGTTAATTTTCTCGTTTTAAAACTATAAGATTGGCTTATCCGGATATATGTTCTTATCTGCACAACGAAAATTTAATGAAAAGATTAAAGCATAAAATACTTTTTAAAACCTTTAATAATTTTTTTAGGGTTTAAAATCATTGTGTCTCAACAGGATAACCACAGCTGAAAGGTGCAGAGATTTCATCGGTGTGTCTCAACAGGATAACCACAGCTGAAAGGTGCAGAGATTTCATCGGTGTGTCCCAACAGGATAACCACAGCTGAAAGGTGCAGAGATTTCATCGGTGTGTCTCAACAGGATAACCACACCTCGAGAGGTGCAGGAAGAGCAGATGTTGTAGATTAAAGAATTTACTTTTTCGACGTAATCAGTTGACTTGAAGTCTTCAAGTCGTTTATCTATGTATTACCACTTACAAGTTTTCAATATGTTTTCAACCACCGTCCCTACGTCCTGAAGAGATCAATTTTGCGTATACGTTAACTAGAGACTTAAGTATGGACTTTTCCAGATTTGGGGGGGGGGGGCATCCATATAGTACTTTCAGAAAAACGGGTCCAAATCTTGACCCCCCTCTCTCCCCCTCCCCATGGCCCATTTCATGACTTCGGGCGGCATTTTTGTTTATTCTTTGAGGTACTTCACAGTCAGGATTCGCCCCAAGCCCCCCCCCCCCAGGACCCGTTTTGCTTTTCCTCTTGACGGCCCTCACAGGGGCGCGAAATATTACATGTGACCACAGTAGCTCACTTGAGTACCAGTAACTTTGCCTGTTTTAGATGACGCTTTGTGACGAACATTTGCGTTTTATTTATATTTACCGAAAACGTTATCTCATTTTCGCTATTTCGAGGTGCTGTTTTGAGAACTTAACACAGGGCGTCTGGAAGAAGCCTAAATTTGGCAAGGGCGCCGGGAAATTGAAAATATCTAGGAACCACTTGCATAGCCGAACAAAACACGCCACAGCATGTACGCTGTACTAAATATTACTACTAGTACTGAGTAGACCTACAACTAGAGCGATATGAAGTGAGCTCACGTTTGAAAACACAGAGCGAAATTATGACGATAATTACTAAAAAAAAACATTGCGTGATATTTTGTACAGCACTTGTGATATAAATATGCCATGTATGGACTGTCAGAATCTCAGGAAAATTATTGCATAATTTTTAAATAAGTGTTCGTACTTTCTATCGAGATTATTATTATTATTTTTTTTTTTTAAATATTTTTTTCGGGGGAAGAGGGGGGGGGGGG